AAAAGCGAAGGCAGAAGAGGAGGAGGATGCCTGGAGCTCCACCTTGGCAGCCCTGAAAACTGCCCCCAAGGAGAAGCCCCCCGCCACCATCGACGGGCTGTGCCCCCTGAGCATGACACCAGGCGCCCGGGTGAGAGCAGGGCCGGGGTACCCAGAGGGGCTGGGGGGACATGGGAGGGGAGTCCTAGGGCAGCCCCCACCCCACTAACACAGGCGCAGCCCCAATTTTCCTTGCAGACCCCTCTATGTCCCCACTGGGACAGCTCTGCATGTCCCCCCCATCCCCAAACGCCGCCCAGGTGCCAGCCCAGGCCGCGCTGCTCGCTGTAGGTCTATGACGACTACGACTGCACCCTGAACCAGACCAACATCAGTGCCAACAACAACAAGTTCTACGTCATCCAGCTCCTCGAGCACGACGGTGCCTACAGCGTCTGGAGCCGCTGGGGCCGTGTGGTGAGTCCACCCCAGCGCCGCTGTCCCCCCTCTGCCTTGGGACCCCCAAGGGCTGGGGATGAACCCCATCCCTTGTTCCCGATCCCAAAGTGAGTAACTGAGTGGCCCTGCTATAGCCCCTATTTGGGGTGCTTCAAGGGCTTGACCCCACACAATGGGGTCAGCCTGGCTGGGGAATATGCCACCTCATCGCTGGGGTGACAGAGAATGTGACACCCCAGCAAGGAGTCCTGGGGTGTCTCCCCGAGCTGCAGGGACCCCCAGACCTGGTGTTAATGGCTCATCACGTTCCTGCTCAGTGCCCTGCAGCCCCCCCATCACCGCCCCCTGCTCCCCGGCTGCTCCCCTGGCAGGGGGATAGCGGAGCAGGGATGCAGGAGGGGCTTGACCGCTGCCATCCTCTGCCAGGGGGAGGTGGGCCAGTCCAAGCTCATGCCCTCTGCCTCCCTGGAAGCCGCCAAGAAGGACTTTGAGAAGAAGTTTCGGGAGAAGACCAAGAACAGCTGGGCGGCAAGGGAGAACTTCGTTGCCCAGCCAGGGAAATACACGCTCATCGAGGTGCAGCCGGGGGCTGAGCAGGAGGCAGAAGCTGCCGTCAGGGTGAGTGCACCAGGCAGCCGGGGCATCTCCGCGCTGGGGCGGTCCTCACATCCCACCCCTGGCCCACCGGACACCAGTACATCCAAGTGGGTCAGCAGGATGGGGGGAGCTTTGGGAGGGGTCTGGGTGCGAGCTGAACCAGCCCATGGGCTAACGGGTCAAACTGGAGTGGGAGGGTATCCTGAGCAAGAACTGTGGGCATCTGGGTGGCGTTGGCCAGGGAACGCTGCCCATCGCTCTGCTGCCCAAGGGCCAGGGTCTCTCCCAAGACAGGCAGCCCCGGTGCCGTG